AAACATAAGCCTGCTCTAAATGTCATTGATGATGATGCTAATTATTATTATTAGCTTTCTGGGCCACATCTGATGGTACTCAGGAGACCAATCCCAGTCATCCTAAATACCTTTATTTTAATGTATGCCACCTAAATATAAAGTTGAGAGTAATAATTATTCTTGAGCAATGGAAAACCACAGATAATAGCTTTGTTGACATCTCATATAACTAAATTAATAAAACTTTAAATGGAGGTGGAGAGCATTGCCAGGATATTTTAAGGGGTTTGTTTTTTCTAAAAGGGATGTAAATTACTAAAACATTCATCCGTCTAGGGGGAACCTGATGGTGAGAGCTGTTCCCAAATGCAGGAGAATCAAACAGTAAAATCTGCCCTTGCACACCCACTGAAAAACACACAAAGATAAGTAGTGACACCCAAGATACCCGCCATATGGAAAAGAGGTCCACAGGCATCCCTCGGAGGTGAGGAACAAACCAGATGAACCTTCTACTCCCTCATTGCACCTTAGAGATTTTTTTTTCAAGTTACTGCAGTGGAGTCCGCCCCAAAGACAGCCCAGACAGGGTTGGAGAAGCGCTGAGGTCCTGACAAGCCTTGCAACCAGCCTTCTCTTCTTGACATTCTTTTGTCTTCCCATGGAGATCTTTTATTAAAAAAAAAAAAAAAATCTACTCTGGCCTTGATCTGCATGGCATTCAAACTCTAACTTCTTCTTAAGAGCCCTTCGCTATGTCTAATTTATCATTATGCTGTCTGGTTCCACAAACTATGATGAAGGACTTTTAATCTTTCCCCGCCTGCCCTTTGACCTGTTCCCAGGAGGCAGAGGTCTCCAGGGCCATTGTGGAACGCAGGAGTGGATCAGAACTCTGGTGTATTTATTCGCTTGCCCCAGCAGAAGCTTGGAAAGGCTTAAGTCACTACACACACACACACACACACACACACACACACACACACACACACACACATCCCAGAAACATTCCAGTGGTGTTTGACCAACCAAGACCAAAATACAGAGGAGGAAAATCTATTTACCCCAACTGTGCTTGCTACTCGGTTCTGTCCATTGATACTCAACTCGTATATGTCTGAGTCGTAGTTGTGCTGGTTCAGCTCAGCCAACCAGTTGCTCAGCTGCCAGCCGTATGCTCAATTCTGCTCTACCCCAGCCAAGGCTCCACCCAGCCACCATTGCTGGCAGCTGCCTGATACACCACCCTGCTGGCCTCAGGGCTGTGGCCTGGTGCTGCAACCTGACCCTCATCTCCCAGTGAGGTTTAGCAGGTACACTGGCAGTCACGAGGAGGCAAAGGAGCACCCAGAGGACCCAAGGGAATCCACTGACTTCTGCTCGTCCTCTCTCCATTCCATCCATAGCCCACCCTGATGAGCAGAGACCCTTATCTGCCAAGACAGAGGTTGTTCCTTTCACTTCTTGGTACCTGGCCAGAAAAAAGTCCCAATGACTACACTGGCAGAGCTTATAAATCAACCCAGTGCTTATTGGCTACCCAAGGCAGAGCTTATAAATGAGTGCAATGCTTATTGGCTACCTGAGGACAAAACTCATCATGTTGAGCACAGTGTCGTGCTGGACAGGAGGCAAAAGATTCCCTGGGAACCCCTGGGTTTCTGAGTGTATCCCGAGGACTGTCAGCACACAGGGCTACACATTGGTAACAGTGTGCCTCAAGCCTCAAGGATTCAGAAGATGTTTTGATCATTCTGTTAGCAAATTATTGATAACAAGCAGTATAGAATAAATTATTGAGGTTCTGCTATGGGGGCAGGCTTAAAGGGTGCTTGGGAAAATTGGAGACAGTGGTGGAGGAAAGGGGTAATGGTAGTGAGATTGGTGTTGGAATATTGAATGCCCGCAACTTTGTAAGCCACAGTGTTGATTTATAGAAAGTGTAGGGGGGAAATTTACATATGTCAGGCTTACCTATTTCATGTAAACTCCACAATCTATTAGCATAGAATTGCTTTAAAAGTTTTATTAATGACAGGTGAGACATTACCATAATGACATCCAAAAATAAAATAAAATTTAATGTAATATACTTTAGATTCCAGATTTGAGAACTTATTTCTGTCAATGGGAATAGGTATTTTATTATATTGTATTAAATGGTTTTAATTTCCTTAAAATATACAGTGAACGCGAATTGGCTCTTACTGATTGATTTTATGATCGTTCTATTTACCATATCTTAACATTTTGTTGGAATAAGCAATGTAAATCTATTATGTGCAGGGGAGGGGTGCAGGTTGGTGTTGGGAGGGAAACTCTGCATATCTTGGTGGAGGGTAAGTCACACTGGTGGTGTTGGAACACGAAATGCTTGAAACAACTGTATAATGAACAACTTTATAAATCACAGTGTTTGTAATAAGAATTAAGTTAAAAACAAGAAAGTCAAGAGTGGCGGTGTTGGGCTGTGCGCCCTTCTGGGGTTCAGGGATACTCGTCTTCTATCTCCCAGCGGGGCAAGCTGCCCTGGACTTCTTGTCTTCTGGTCTCACCAGGCTTCTGTCTTCACCGAGGCCTTCTTCTGTGTCACACGGGTGTGTGCCCCAAGTGTGTGCCTGTACCTGTGTCAACGTCCTGTTTTAGGACACCAGGCTGAGGCTCTGCCTCACACTGTCACCTCCCCCTGATTTAACCAGTGACAGCTACAAACAATGATTCCAAATGAGTTCAGAGGCCTGGAACCTGAGTAGACAGGAATTGGAGGGGGCTCATCACTATAAATCATCATGAACAAATATGATGTACAAATGTATTGTTTGTAAGCTGGTGTCCTCCCCCAATTGATATATTCAAGTCTGTTTCCCCCAGTACATTAGGATGTGAAGGTATTGGAGAAAAATTTTTGGAAGCAGGAATAAAGACTCTGATGGAGATTATATAAATGATAGCCCAGTGATTGGTATCTTAAGACAAAGAGGCCACAGGCAGAGAAAATGCCCAGAAGAAGGTGACCTTCTGCACAAGGAGCAAAGCCTCGGAGAAATCGAGTCTGCCCACACCTTGGCCTTGGGCTTCAAGGCTCCATAACAGAAAACAAACTTCTGTGGCATTAAGGCACCCTGCGGGTGAGACTTTGTTATGGCTAAAACACTGCTTATTACCACTGACCCTCCATGCTGGATTCTCTGTGGAAACATCTTTGGTTGAATGTTTCCGTGATATGAAGGACATTGTCAAATCCTTGCAGACAGAGTGGAAACTCCAGTTCAACACTACAGCAAGAACTCTGGCAGAAGTTTCCAGAAGGCCAAGTATGTGATACCAATGGCTCACAAGTCCCAGGCCTTTGCTTTAAAGATGACCCCCTGACCGGGTATCATATGGGATCTCATGCCAGTGAACTGACTTTCCCAGCACAGGCTAGAATGCAGGTCTGTGCCACCCAGAATGAACCACTGGCCTGATGACCTTCTGACCGGTCCACTGAGCAAGGTGGCCCCTGCGGAGGCTCAACTTCATCTCCAACATCCCATAGCCGTGGACAATGACCCTAGGTCCCATTGGAATGGCCACCAGCTTACAGATGCGGAGGTGTTCCATCCTTCCTCTGGGGACCAGTCACTTCAGATGAAGTTGACTTTGATCCTGAAACTGAGCTAACTTCTCACTCCTTAGCTCCACGTTGCCTTCACTTGGTATTCGTAGTGGCTGTGTTTATCTTGGATCCTTCTGTTCTTGAACCCAGTGTGGGTGCTATCAAATCTTTGCTGAATTCCTTTACACTCCCAACTTCTCAAGCCAGCACCCGAGATTCATCTCGAGCGACCCCACGAGCCCCTCCCAGCAGACACAGGATTATTTGCACATCCTCTTTGGCCCAGTCTTGTTTCTGCCCTCGGCACAAGGACTCCTTTGAAGGGGTGGTCATGAACAGTGTTTCACAAGGACCCCTTTGACTAACCCATTCGTTTGCCCTAATTCTCAGACACACGGCCTGGAGATGGGGGCGAGTCCTACAGGAGAGGCACAATACCTGGGAACAGACATCAGCAGTCACCAGCTGGGGAGCACGTGTTGCTCTGACCAGGAGGGGTAAGCTCAGCCTACAGGCTGAGAAAGAAATAGAGTTAGGACCTTAGGATCTTCGGTGGGGTGTCTCTACCACACGTGTCAGGGGCTTGGTCACGGTCACGGTCCTCCCGTTGTTCATCGATTTGCTCGAGCGGGCCCAGTAACGTCTCCACTGGAGACTTTGTTGTTACTGTGTTTGGCATATCAAATACGTCACCGGGAGCTTGCCAGGCTCTGCCGTGCGGGCGAGATACTCTCGGTAGCTTGCCGGGCTCTCCGAGAGGGGCGGAGGAATCGAACTTGGGTCGGCCATGTTGGCCGCTTGTAAGGCAAATGCCCTACCGCTGTGCTATCGCTCCAGCCCGTCAGGGGCCTGGGTTTCCCTAAATGCTAGCCTGACCTTGGTATAACAGACCTCATTTGATTGGCTACTGTCTTAAGTTTCAGACAACTGCATTCGGGGCTGGGGGCTGATAGCTTAGTCCTCCAGAGATAAAGCTTTTCCTTGAGCATCTGGCTTGAACATTTGGCTTTCCATGGCCTGGCACTGCCTTCTGATCCTGACATTTCTAAAGAGGAAGGGTGGTTTAGCACAGACATCTAACCTTACCCTCCTGCGACCCGTTTCTTGTATTTCTCAAATGCCAGTCAGTTTGACAATGCATTCTTGCCCTCCAGTCATTGTACCAATGGACACCAGCGCCATCAACCATCCATTCTCACTTACTACGGAAGAAGGGCTCTGGCAACATCTAACATCTGACCGCACTCCCCACACGGTCAGTCTCTCTCACACACTAGACAAAACGTGAAGCTCTGAGAGTCAACAGAAACACGGGCATGCTTTCCAACAGGTTTTAAAAGCTGAAATCACTTATATGTGCTCGCTTCGGCAGCACATATACGAAAAGCTGAGAACAGGAAATTAAAACATCAGAAATATATTAAGTGAAATACTCGATTTATTCAAAAAGAACAAAGAAATGAGATTTCCTAGGTAAAGCATCTGGTAGTAATGCTATTTCTGACTCTTTGTCACTGAAAAACGGCTGAGCAGTCCCCTCTGTGTATATTTTTAGGCATTGAAAAGTACTAGTAAAGACACACACAGTGAAAGGCGACAAGGGAGAGTGGACTGCTGAAACATACACATCCTGGTCTACTTGAGGTAACAAAAATAACGAAAATTTAGAATTCAATTAACATTTCACTTTTTTTCCTGTGGCTATAACAAGGAAAAAAATACAATAATTCATTTTACCCATGGCATTTTACAAAAATCAGACAAAAGTGAATTTATAAGCAGATTTCTTAATTATAGCCATTTCATGTCAAACAAATATATTACCATCCTATTCCTTTATCCTGTGTACACATCTAACTGGCAAAACTTACTAGACTACTGCAGTCGGTAAAAATCTAATCCATGATGCTCCAATTGCTCGGCTTGATTAAAAACATCTTATATTTAAGACTCATTTTCTTATGCCTGATTATCAGATCCTATTAAAAAGAAATCCTATGCCCTGCTCCATGCCTCATAAAAGCAACCAGCATGGCACATGGCCAGTGACGGTGCTCCTGGAGCACCCGCACGCATCACTGGCGCATGCCAGCTCCTGCTTGCAGATGGGGGCCACAGGCTCTCCTAATCCCCGTGCTCCTCGTAGTGAGCGTAGCCGCTGGCGTAGGTCCTTCCTAGATTCAAGTTAGTAAACAAGTCAGATGACTCGGCATCGGAATCCTTGGCCCCTTCATCTTCTTCCTCTTCATCATCCTCTGCCTCGTCCTCCTCCTCCTCCTCCTCCTCGTCCTGGTAGCTGGCATCGCCGTACTTCTCGGCGGAGAGGCTCTTCCAGTAGGCATCATAGCCAGCAGCTCCATCTCCATCTTCACCTCCTGCCTGCCGACCGAACTTCAGGGAGCGGGCTGCAAAGGAGAGAGAAGGGCAAGCCCCCTTAGCTTGAGTTCTCTCCACTCTCATTTTCCTCGGTGATAGGCACAGAAGAGATAGATAAACGGTGGATTGTTTCTTACTCCGAAATGAAAAAAAGCAGGCACATTCCTAATGTCCTCACTTAATACTTAACTGGACAGAAGTTACGTATTGAACCTGGAAACGGCAAGCATTGTCATCCTACCCCAAGTTGTACAGACACACACCACGTAGCAAAGAGTAGAGATGGGAGAGTGACATTGAAATCTTGTTAAAAATGCAGAAAAATGAAGAAAAATAAAAGCACTCTCCAAAATTAAGCTGCATAAGGCATGATAAAACTAATATCATCCGATGAACTGAAAGATGATTTCAAACCTCATAAATCATCTAATACTTGAATTTATGTCACTCCATTTTTCTTAAGATAAGTGATTTAAACATTCAGATGTCTTAGAAAACAAAGCCTTTCAGTTCCTCTCTAATTCTAGGTCAGTAGTCAGGGACCACTACTGACATTGCTCAAGGGAACCATATAGGTTGCTGAGAACTGAACCAGGGTTGGCCACAAACAAGGCAAATGCCTAAACCCGATGGATTAGCTTTATTTCTTCTTAGTATGACTAGCAACACCCAGAGCAAAAAAAAAAAAAAAAAATCAGCAAAATCTCACCTCACTATGCAACTTCCTAGATGGCAAATTATTACGAATCATATTAAGTATTATAAATTCAGAGTTATGGTTCCAACCCGACCGGTGAAGAATCAAATTCTTTTTTAATAAAATTGTGAGCTGCATTAGTGGCAGCAAGCCTTAGTAATGTTTCCACAATCTCTCCCACAACGAGCACAGCTACTCAAATACCATTTCCCCATGATGAGACTAGAACACACGCCAACTTACCAGTCCTCAAATATGAGGGATTTACGGCTACTCAATTATTTAACGAGAAGCCTCAGCCAAACAGAAACAGTGCTTTTTTGGTCTTGATTTGAATAGTCACTATGTCATGAGCTGAGGCAAATGCCAAATAATCCAGGAGAATGATGGCCTATTTCTTAAGGTGAAACTGAGAAACTGCGTGGCTATTTTCCAATTCTACCAACTTAAAAGAATACACTGGTCTTTGCGAAGAGGAAAAAGAGACAAACACAAGAGGGGGCGAGGGTCTTACTCGACATGCTCAGGTCCTTCGTCTCCTGGGTCTCGTGTCCGCACTTGGGGCAGGGAGGCTGTTTGCCTTTCTCTTGCTTAAAGACCTTACTCCTGGTATGATCGTCACAGAAACATGCCTGGAGAGAGAAGCAGAAGATTGCAATTTAGTACGTGATTGAAAAAAAAATACAGGGCTGTCATTAAACAACGGAGTCTGAAGAGAAGACTGTGTCAGGGCCAAGGTCAGGGTGCACTGGTCACCTCTGGGGCTCAGTTTTTTAAAGGAGTGCTCTCTGCTGAGATCCTTGGGACCCGGGGTAGAAGGTGTAGGCACATCACTCATTCACGAAGCTGAGTGCTCACAAAGTCCCAGGTGGCACAGTGCCAACCGTCCTCATGGGCATGAGTGACAAGAGACAAGTGGAGAAGCAGACACAAGACACAGTGGGGGACAGTCAGGAGACAGAAGGCCACGCACAGGGCCGAGGGCAGAGAAACATGTCAGCAAAGGTGGGTGTAGGGGAAGGTTTCGTGGGAGATGGAAGTCTTATCCGAGCTCTGATGCAGAATGGGTGCACAGCAGAGGGAGCAGAGATGGAGGACAAGTAACAGAAGGCAGATGAGACAGCACTACTGACACCTCAGCCTGTTGGTAAAACTGGAGTCCAGCAGGGAGAGAAAGAGAGACAGAAATGGGAGCGTGAGAACCAAGAATAGTTAGGAGCACAAGAACCAGAGATGTGTTAGGAGTGTAAGAACCAGAGAAAAGTCTGAGAGGAAGTTAATCACCCGCGTCGGCTTTATGACTTTCGACACACCAAAACTCTGGAGGAGACCCAAGGAAATAAACATTCTGAAAACCTTCACTTTATCCAAACTCTCCTAAAAGCTTTTGGAAATTTGTGGAAACATACCCCTGACATTTCAGCCAGAATGTTCCCAAACACTAAGGCATAGAAACACGGAGGGAAGGAGCTCCGCAGTCGAGTATATGCCCTGGGTTCAAAAGCGGACACCAAAAATAAACCAGCCCATCAAACAAAACAAGAGCACTGAGCAAAGACTCAGGAGACAAGCCCTGGAGGCCACTTTAAGCCAGCCTTCACTGCATGCCTTCGCGAAGTCACCAACTTTTCTCCACTTCAATTCCACAATCTCTCAGGGCATATACTACATGCCTTAGAAGATTCCGCATAGAATAGCAATCGTGACAAACTATCCAAGTAGTGGTGGAAGAGTCTGGGATTAAAAACCAGAGGGAAAACACAAACACACACTGGAGAGGGTACCTTACACCGGAGACAGGAGTGCTGGCCCAGCCGGTTGCAGGACACACCTGTGGGAGGAAGCGCAGTGTCCAGGTTCAAACTTGGAGGGGAAAAACTATCACACTCAAATCGATTCTCACCCTGTCTTGCATTTTCTAGTCCAACCTAGAGGTTCGAAAATGCACTGGGATCCCAGGCCGGGAGGAAGGAATCTACTACTGCACACACAGAGCCTTCTTTCACTACACAGGTTCAATCGCTCTCCCAACTTCCCCCTACTTCCCCAGATCTCGGGATGGCAAACTTTCTTGATCATATTTAGAAAGCTAAAATGGTAAAACATCACTTTTCCTCGGTGTCATCAGCTGGAGCAAGACTGCCCTTAATTATCTGATGGTTAAATTTTAAAAAGAATGACTCCATCAGTAGACAATCTTCTCTGCTGGAGCCGACAATTGGCATTTTTCCGCACAACTTCTGGCAGAAAATAAGCCATTTTGATAGAAAAATGACTATTAGAGAGAAAATAAAGTGCAAGTGGGAAAAATCAGGCCAATTTCGGCCATTAAGTACAGCTAAGAAAAACCTGAAGATAAGTGCAATAATATTTAAAAACCACATGCTAGACCTCAGAATTAGTTTACAAAACTGTTTCCGAGAGGCAGGGAACTGAGGGGGAGGGGGTGGGAGTGGGGGTCAATCCTGAGACACAGATGGAAAGAAGCAAGGGGGTGGGACTGGAAGATCGTATATGTACGAAAGTCGATCATGAGCAGTACTGTAAGTCACAGAACCTCAAAAAGAAGAGAAAACATCATGTGCTAGAACACAGAAAGGAACAGTACGTAGCAGAGATAAAGAGAAAACAAACTGCATGATGCCCTGATGTAGCGAGTTTATAAGCTATGAACTTTTGATACACGTAGAGGATTTGAAAAGCTCCATATGGAAATAAAACAAACTTGTTTTTTATTTCGGATTTAGAAGCTAACCATAGATTTCTAACTTGGGGATTCTTTGTCTAGTTAAGTTTGCCTGGTTCATGGGGAGCCTTCTCAATGCGAATGGGAGACTCATTTTTTTTACTCAAAAGATGATGACCTTAATTATGTACGTATTATTGTTCCTATCCAACCATCCCGCTTTCTTACAAAGCGAATATCTCAGTTAAATTTGTATTATTTGTCCCATGTTGCCAATGATGAAAGTTGAAACAAATGAAGTCCTTACTGCCAGGTATATGTAAGTACACAAAAATTACTTCAATATCATCTCGATGACTGAAAATTCTATTTGAAAAAGAAAACAATTTCCCAGTCTTAAACTAGGAAAATAAGAATTATTTTTTAGAATCTGCAAGAAGTGTGTCTGTACAAATACAAGTTTAAATCTGGGAGAAGACACCCAATCTTCTCCTCTGGTGACTGCTGGTGTGTGGGGTGGAGGAGGGAGATGTGTGGGGGGAAGGGAGGAATGTGGGAGGGAGAAAGGGGTCTGGGATGGAGAGAGGTGAGTGGGGTGGAGGCTGTGTGTTGTGTGTGTGTGGGCTGGAGAGAGGTGTGTGGGATCGAGAGATAAGCATGGCCCGACCAAACGTGGCCCGACCAAATGTGGCCCTGGTATCCTTGCTGGGAAATTAAACAGGTGGGGGAATATGTTTTGTAAATCTATTTCCGAAAAGAGAAAACAGCGGGTCAGATCCATCTCTTTGAGGCTTCATGAAAACTAAGCTTCCTTGCTCATTCAGTTTAACACACCGTAAAAGGGGAAAAAAAAAAAGCTGGAGTATAAAGAACATCCAAGAACTTACATTTAAATGTTTCCGCCTCTAAAACCTGGCAGCTGGCTTGATGTTCAAACTGATCATCTTCACAGAGAAAGTTGTGGCAGAAAGAACAACTGAATATTCTGCCTCCTATTGGATAAAAAATAAATAAATAAATGCAAATGTGATCCACTTGAATTTTCAAAGTCCTACCTATAAGCGAAAGTTCTGGGGGGGGGGGGGGAGGGAAAGGAGGGGGGAGAAATGGTCAGTTACTCCAGATGCACACGCCTGAACTACAAAAGCCACTTGTTTTTGTTCTGGTCAAGGCTAAAGTGAAAATTGCCAAAATGAGCCAGAGAGGAAAGCGAGGTCCCGCTAGTCTTTGGCCCCTCGGATAAGGATGCTTAGACCTTTGCCGCCTGCCCACTTCCCCTCGCGACCTTGGCGTCAATGACCACCCGCGGTACTTCCCTTTTCCAGCTGAGCCACGGGCGCAGTGCCCGTCCCCCGCACTCACCGTGGTCCCAGACGCGGCGCTCGCACTCCACGCACTCGGCGTCCGTCAGCGGGCACGCGCATGCGTGGGTGCTCAGGCACTTGCGTCCGTGGCACACCCAGGCTTCGCAGAAGTCACAGATGGCGCCCTGCGGACCAGCAGAAAGACCGTCTCCGTCACCGGTACGGGACGGGCCAGATAGTGAGAGGCTCACCCACGCTCCTTGACAAGCAGGTGGCCGCAGATAGAGCTGGGAAAACCTTGCAAAATTCGAGAAAGTTCTCCGAGCAATCAAAAAAACTTTCTCCCACAGCTATTTTTATTCTATCCAAAGCTTGGGTACCAAGGTAAAGCAGCAAGGGAGAAACCAGGAATAGGAATCTAATAGGAATCACTCATATCAATCAAGGAACAGAAAACACCATAATCCAACTAGATCCAATCCCAAGTGGGTCTAGATCCAATCCCAAGTGGGTCTGAAGTCCACACAAACAGTATCTGCAGCAAGTTCGGAATGGAAACGAGCTTTTTAAAAATAGTTTGGGTAACAGGGTTACAACGGTGTTTCAGTTTCTGGTACTGATGACAATGACACGACCCCCACCACATCCCTTCCCTCCAACCCCTCCCCAGTATCTGCGAATTGAGAGTTTGCCCTTAGTTCCTGAGCACCACCAGGTTCTGCAGACCCTCCCCCCATCCCTAAACCTGGCACTCATAGGTTGGTATTCCAGCATCCTGATGGGGTTGGTCTGATGCCCCGTTTTGTTTTTGTTTTTTTAATTTTTTATTGAGTATCTGTGAGATAGACCATTACAAAGCTGTTCATGATTGGGTTTCAGTCATACAAGATCCAACACCCACCACTCCACCAAGTGTACATTTCCTACCACCAAAGACCCATTTGCCTACCACCATCTCCCACCACACACACACATACACGCGCGCGCGCACACACACACACACACACACACACACACACACACACACAGCCTGACTCTACATCAGGCAATTTCCTTCTTTCCCTCTCTCCTTTTGTGCATTCTGGTTGTAATACAGGTACAAGAGATCATCGTGATTGTTCAGTATTTTCACTGGGAGTGTAAGGCTGGAGTAGCTGTTTTAACTGGGTGCAGCTTTGGGATGTGGCTTCCAGAAATGCGACGAGGTGGGGGGAGGGAGCCCACCCTCACCCCGAGAAAGCCTAGAGACTTCAGTCACAAAACCCACATTCCCAAGTTTTCAGCAGATTCCATCTTGGTGAGGGCCACCCCAGATGGTGGCGTCCACCTGGGGCCGCGGTGGCGATTTTGGACAGTGGATGCAAGCGAATCCCATTTCTTTATATACCACCTCTGAGTGAAATCATTATGTATTTGTCCTCCTGCCTGTCTTATTTGTGGGGTCAATATTTTTGGCGGTGCCCTCAAATTCCACTCAAGTTACAGAGTAATACATGACTTTTTCCTCCAGTGATAGCATAACATTGCACTGTTTGCACTCACCTCTTCTTTATCCGCTCAGCTGTTGCTGGACAGTTGGACTGCCTCCATATCCTGGCTATTGTACTCAGAGCTGCCCTGAATATAGGTGTGCGTATATCTTTTCAAATTAATAATGTTAATGGGGCTGGAGTGATAGCACAGCGGGTAGGGTGTTTGCCTTGCACGCAGCTGACCCGGGTTCGATTCCCAGCATCCCATATGGTCCCCCAGGCACCGCCAGGGGTAATTCCTGAGTGCATGAGCCAGGGGTAACCCCTGTGCATTGCCGGGTGTGACCCAAAAAGAAAAAAAAATAATGTTAATAGTAATTAATAATAATGCTTTTGTGTTTGGAGGGTAGATATCTAGGGGTCAGAGGGCAGGGCCAAAATGGAGGCTTCTTTCTGGTAGTTCTGAGAAATATCCACATTTTTTTCCATAGCGGGCGGAACACATGGCATTGCGCCCCAAGGGGAAAGCAGGTTCACTCTATACCCCACCCCCAACCAGTGTTCGTTGCTTTTGGGTTTTTTTACATGCTCACTAGCATGAAGCGACTCCTCGTTGTCATTCTGATTTGTGTTTCCATGACATTAAATGATAATGAGCCTTTTGGTTTCATGACCACAGGACCCAGTACTCAGGGTTTACTCCTGACTCTGCACTCAGGAATCACACCTGGCTGGATGCAGGGAACCATACAGAGGGGTGAGGCTGAACCCAGGTTGGCCACGTACAAGGCAAGCGCCCTACCCACCCCACTGTAATGAGTCTTTTCGTGTCGTGCGTGTCTTTTTGAGTTTTTGGGCCACATCTGTTGTGTCAGGGGTTACTCTTGGCTCAGAAATGACTTTTTTTTTCTTTTGGTCATACCCAGCAATGCACAGGGGTTACTCCTGGCTCTGCACTCAGGAATTATTCCTGGTGGTGCTTAGGGGACCATATTGGATGCTGGGAATTGAACCCGGGTTGGCCGCATGCACAGCAAACGCCCTACCGGCTGTACTATCGCTCCAGCCCCCTCAGAAATGACTCTTTGTGTGGCTCAGGGAACCAGAAGGAATGCTGGGGACTGAATATGAGTCAGCAGCAGGCAAGGTAAACTGTATAGCCTGCTGTACTATGGTTCCAGCCCCATGTCTTCTTTTTGGAACTATCTATTCATCTCTTCTATTTTCTGGTGGGGTTATTTGCTTTTTTGTTGCTGAGCTTTGTGAATTTTATAGACTTTGGATAATAGTCCTTTATCTGCAGTATTATGTGACTACACCCTACCCAAAGCACTATGTAGACATAATGCGATTCCCATCAAAATTCCAATAACATTCTTCAAAGAATTAGAACACTACTAAAATTAGCACAGAAGCATAATGGCCCACGAATGGCCAAAGTCATCCTAAGAAAAATAAAAAGAAGTTGGGAAATACCATATCCCCTGAATGTAAAATATACTATATAGCAATCCAAACGCCACAGTACTAAAGTAAGGACAGGATGACAGACCAATGAATCAGTATTGAGAACACAGTGAGAAATCCTCAGATATACGGACAGATGCAAGTACCTGGGCTGTATGAAGTGAAGCAAGAAAAAAACCTCTTCAGGGGCTGGAGCAATAGCACAGCGGGCAGGGTGTTTGCCTTTCACCCGGCCGACCCAGGTTCGATTCCCAGCATCCCATATGGTCCCCTGAGCATCGTCAGGAGTAATTCCTGAGTGCAGAACCAGGAGTGACCCCTGTGCATCGCCGGGTGTGACCCAAAAAAGAAAAAAAAAAAAACCACAACCTCTTCATTAAATGGTGCTGGGAAAACTGAATAACCACTTGTAAAAAAAAAAAAGAAAGAAAGAAACTGGATCCGTATCTCACACCATACCAAAAATTAATTCAAAGCTGATCAAAGACTTAAGAGATTAGACCTGAAACAGTAAAATACTTTGAGAAAAAGACAGGCGGAAGAAGTCTGCAGGATCTGGACATCAAAGAAGTTTCCACTGACCTGATTTCACTGGCAAAGGTAACAAAAATTAAAAATAAGCAAGCAGTACTATATGAATTGAAAAGCTGCTGCATGGTAAAAGAAACTCGGGCCAAAATTGCATTTTTTTTTATATATACTCGTTATACTGATTTAAGAAAATTCCTTCTTGGCTGTGAAGCTTATAAAGCATAGCTTTTTGAGAATAACGGAGAGAAATAATAAACTTTTAAGAGTATCTTTTTCCTTTCAAGGCAAATTATGCTTTAAATCATTCTATTTCTTTAGGAGAAAGACAATCTGGGCCAGGGAGATAGCTTAAAGAGCACATGTCTTGCATATGCTGGGCCCTCCTTAGCCAAGCATTTGGCATTTGATCCCCCGAAACACGCGGCCTTCTGAGCACTGCCAGGTGTGACCCAGGGGCCCTGACACCTCTGGGCCAAGCAGCACATCAAAGTGCCTCAGCACTGAGCCATCAGAGCCACACGCAAGAGCCAAGCCTTGCTGGCAGTAGTCCCTGAGCTCTGCTCTGGAGGCCTCTCACCCCACCCCACCCCTACCCTGCCAACAAAGGAAAGCAGGGAATGAAACAAGAGGGTAAGACTGCGATCTTGTGGAAGACGTAAAGACTGCACCTTTCAATAACACAGTCATAACCCAAAACTATTGAGGACAGGAAAGAATCTTAAGGTAACCTGAACTGAGGGTCTCCCCTTCGCAGACGAGGTACACCGAGACTAAGTCTCTGTCCCAGAGAGGTGGTCACTGCGCTCGACACTCTATGGTCAAGTCTTCGGATGTCAGTTCAGCATTCCGCCACCCAGAGCTCTTCAAGATTATCAGTGCAACAGCAAATTCTCAAAAGTCTTTGACTCTCCCTTCCGCCCTCCTCCCGCTGGAAAGAAAGATGGCGGCCACATGGGAGCCTTGTGGACAGCAGGTATGAGCCAGGGGTGTGGGGGCGACTAAAACCTCATGGGAAGGGGGGCGTTCCGGTCCGTCCTTCACGCCCTACCGAGGTCACCAGTTGCCCCCCGCGAGCGGCTCTCCAGCACAGCCACGGCCCCAGAAGCACAAGGACTTAATGCAGAACCCGGCAGCTTGGAGCAGAAAAGTGAACGGACTATGCGTTAATCCAGGCCATCATGTCTGTCTGGAGGGGAAAGGGTGTTGCCCCAGTCGCCCTCTCCTCTCTGGAAAGAAAGATGGCGGCCGCATGGGAGCCTTGTGGACAGCAGGTATGAGCCGGGGGTGTGGGGGCGACTAAAACCTCATGGGAAGGGGGGCGTTTCGGTCCGCCCTTCACACCCTACCGAGGCCACCAGTTGCCCCCCACGAGTGGCTCGCCGGCACGGCCACGACTCCAGAGCACAGAAACCAATTTCTTAACTATCTGACTTTCAGTAGAAATACTTCCAGGGTCAATAAGTAAAATAGCAGAAATCCAAAACCAACATTTAATTCTTGAACCCAGCTGTAGAAAGCAAATCACTTCACAATGCTTTTTCAGCATGTCTGATTTGGGGGGGGGGGGGGGGGGGGTAAACTCTAAATAATAGTGGTGAATCTTTTATTGAAACAGTGAATCTAATCAAAGCAGATAGAGTGTTAACTAGAATTCATCTGCCTCACAGGGACTGGGAGGGGTGGGGGGTGGGGTTTTATTGGGGTTCTTCATGGTAAAAAATAAGTATTGGTAAAGGGAAATGTGTTTGATATTTGCATGACTGAGACCTAAACCTGAAAGCTTTGTAACCTTTCGCACAGTGATTCAATAAATAAATAAATAAATAAATAAAAAAGTCTTTGACTGCACAGGATCTCATGGACACTCAACATGAGTAATAATGCAGGGGAGTGAGGAATCACCGAAAAAGCAAAGGCAAGGGCTTGCAAAAAAAGGATTAGGGGATGATATAAGAGGGAGAGGGTGAGTTTCTGGAACATTCCAAGAGCCAAGAGAAAACACCCTGGTTAGAAGGAAAGGGACATCCTGGCCAAGGACTGTGTGGCCATTCCCTGTCCAATCCAGAAGCCAGCAGCGATGAGCTGGGAGTAAGCACCCAGTCTGCCCACTCCCCTCTGTAGGCTCCTGCCTCGGTCCTCCACTGAAGGCACAAAACGGGGAAGAGCAGAGCAAAGAGAAGGTGGCCAGAAAAAAATCACTTTGTGGGATTTCTAGCTAATGCTGCACGATGCTACTGCAAAGGTTTTCTCTACAGAGAGAGACCACCGAGGGCCTGGGATATGGCGCATGGGGTAAAGCATTTGTCTGCATGTGCGAGTCCCAGGGTTTGCTCCCCTGGCATCAGCATATCTCTCTCTCTCTCTCTCTCTCTCTCTCTCTCTCTCTCTCTCTCTCACACACACACACACACACACACACGTCTGCATGTGCAAGTCCCAGGGGTTTGCTCCCTGGCACCAGCATCATACACACACACCTCAAACAGACACATTCAGATATGTCAAAGAATCTGGTACAGACATCAGCAAGTCAGCAAGGACGATCAGTATGCTTTTTAAATAATATAACTGACAACCCGATATTTAAAAGAGATAAATTCAGGAGCGATAGCACAGCAGTAGGGCGCTTGCCTTGCACGCAGCCAGCCCAGCCGAGCTGGGTTCGATTCCTCCGCCCCTCTCGGAGAGCCCGGCAAGCTACCAAGAGTATCTTGCCTGCACAGCAAAGCCTGGCAAGCTACCCGTGATGTATTCAATATGCCAAACACAGTAACAATAAGTCTCACGATGGACACGTTACTGGGCCCGCTCGAGCAAATCGATGAATAAAGGGAGGACAGTGTTTGTTTTTGTTTGTTTTGAGTAATTCTAGCTTTGTGATTTTGTAAGATACATACATGAGAAATACGTAAATGCCTCATGATAGAAAACTGGAGGTTCATGTAGAGTATTGTACATACACTTTTCCTTGCGAGTTGAAATCTGGACCTGAGTGTATCAAAATCCAGTAAAACTGGACAGTAGTTTTAGAAAATGAGAAAATGAGAGCAAAATGCATCACACAACACATTTTCACTATTTAGAATGTCCTTTAAAATTTTTCTACATTTAATAAAGAAACTGTCTAAATCTGTGTTAACTATGTGCAGTTTTTTAAAATGTGAAGTTTTAAAAATCTAATACCGTGTGGTTTTTTGGAATGAGGCTGTTTAAACCTAAATCTTGGCTAGCAGGACTTTCAGTATATTTGACATGATATTAAAATCACTTCAGTAATATTCTATAAAGTAAATGATATTTTATAAAGCCTAATAACTATGATGTATTTAGAAAGTACCATAAGCAAGAAAGATTTTTGCTTGAGTCAACAGTCTAGAAGTTTCCATTCTTTGTACCTTTCCCAGTAAGAAAGAAGGACGCAGCCAAACCCAAACAAATATTAAGGAAAATTATACGAGTCATACAAGTATGCCACAGACAACCCGGATGACTCCAGGGGGACAGAACCAAGGCACTGCCCATGAGAAAAAAGTAACCACTAGTGGGGTGGGAGCACAGTGGGTAGGGCATTTGCCTTGCATGCGGCCACCCCGGATTCGATTCCCAGCATCCCATATGGTCCCCCAAGCACCACCAGGAGTAATTCCTGAGTGCATGAGCCAGGAGTAACCCCTGTATATAGCTGCCCCCTCCCCAACAAAAAAAAAGTAACCACTAGTCCAAACAGCCTCCCTTTCCCCTGGGAAGTGATTCATCCAACAAGAACAACAAGCTTACCACCATGGCAAGGCCAGTGCTGTAGACACCTGCGTGCTTTATGACACAGTCTGAAGACTTCATCATGCACTTTGTCTTCCCTAGGAAAAAAGAGATTTGCCATGTTAGTTACGCAGAATTGGACAGCTGACCCTTATACAACATGGGACTTCAGCTGTGTGAGGCCACTCCCTGGGATTTTCCTATAAAAACAGACGATGTCAAGTTACAGACTCAGAGTAAGGTACAGTGCTGCAAGTACATTTTCTCTTTACCTAGCTTGCTTCATTATTATAATATGGCACACAATATTGTAAAAATTACAGCACGATATCTGCATAAATACAAAATACGTGTGAAGTATTTTTAATAGCAAAGTTTCTAGTTAAAGAGATAAAGTTTCAGGGAAGTCAAAAGTTAATACAGTCTGCACCCCTAAATCTGCATTCCTCAAGACTTAGCTGTCTACGCAAATACTGGCTAACCTCTTTATAGATAGGCTATCCTATGGAAATATTTAAAAGTGGGGAGAAATAAACATTATTTATTCTTTACATAACAAAAAAATGACATTTTTATATATATGTGATAACCAGAACTTTTGAATTAAAAATACATTAACAAACCTGTAAAGATGTATTGCACGAAGAATTTATATGCTAACTCCTGTTCATACTAAAAGTAGAAATTGCAGATTATGCTTCACAACAGGGCTGGAGCAATAGCACAGCGGTAGGGTGTTTGCCTTGCACGCAGCCAACACAGCCGACCCGAGTTCAATTCCTCCGCCCCTCTCGGAGAGCCGGCAAGCTACCGAGAGGATCTCTCCTGCACCGCAGAGCCTGGCAAGCTCCCCGTGACGTATTCAATATGCCAGACACAGTAACAACAAAGTCTCCAATGGAGACGTTACTGGGCCCGCTCGAGCAAATAGATGAACAACAGGAGGACAGTGACAGTGACATGCTCCACAACAATTACATTAGTTGTTTAAAAACTTGTGAACTTTTAGATGAATTAAAATGTTTTAAAAAGTTATGCTGGAAAATGAATTTCGTATTTTATAAGTCACAGAAAAGACAAGTCTGTTTTGGGTTATTCAACCAGCATCTCACACTAAACCAAACCAAGTAAATGATTACAAAACTTATCCGGTCTGTTTTTGAAAATCTCTACCTATGTAAAAATTTATAAACAGAAGCCCCAGGTAAATGCTCTCCCAAAAGAACATGAAAACAGTGCTCCAGCACAAAAACAGGAATAGAGTGACTCAACTGGAAATCATAATACAGCCCGTAAGTTGTGACCTAGCAGCAAATCTCAAACCTAAAGTGCTGTTGGAAAGTTCTCGCATCGCAAACTATGTCAGGATTAATGGTGACACCTTCATCACCCATCTCAGACTCCATAAAATGGAACATCAAGAAACTGTAGATGCTACACAATGAAGTACTATGTAGCTCTTAGAAAAGATGAAGTCATGAAATTTACATACAAGTGGTACAACATGGAAAGTATCATGCTAAGCGAAATGAGTCAGAAAGAGAGGGATAGACATAGAAAGATTGCATTCATCTGGGGGATATAAAGTAAAAAAGTATGAGATTAATACCCAAGAATAGCTGAGATCAGCACCAGGAGGATTACTCCATAGCTTAGAGGCCAGCCGGGCATTCTAGGGGAAAGGGCAGCTCAGATAGAGAAGGGAGCACCAAATAAAGGGTCTTTGGAGGATCCTCCCAGGAGGGGAGATGCATGTCGAAAGTGGACTATGGACTGAACATGTTTGCCACTCAATGCCTCTTTTGCAGACCACAACACCCAAAAGGAGAGAGAGAACACAGGGGATTGCCCTGCCACAGAGGCAGGGGGGAATGGGGGGATGGGGGTGGGGGGGGATATTATCCATGGTGGTGGAAAATGGGCACTGGTGGAGGGATGGGTATCTGATCATTGTATAATCAAACCCAAGCACAAAAAATTGTAAATCTACAACTGTACCTCATGGTGTTTCACTAATAAAAAAAAAAAAAATTAAAAAAAAAAAAAAGAAACTGTAGATGCTCAATTTCCCACTCTCTCTTAGTTACCTGAGCAGGAAAAAAAGAGAAACTGAAAATGAGAGACAGTCGATGCCCAGCTGCTTCCTGAATGCCACTGAGGAGAGATGAGCAACGAGAGCGGGCCAGTGTCCTCTTCCGAGTCCCTTGGAGAACTCAACTATCTCTTCTCTGAAAACCAGAACTGTACTAGAAATATTCCGGGACATGACCGCAACAACCCTAACTTTCTGCAAGCTGTGATACATAAACACCTTTAGATGAGCATATCCCAACTGTGCTCCATCTGAAACTATTCTTCATAATCAAAAAGGATGTGGGGCTGGAGCGAAAGCACAGCGGGTAGGGTGTTTGCCTTGCACGAGACCGACCCGGGTTCAAATCCCAGCATCCCATATGGTCCCCCGAGCCCCACTAGGAGTAATTCCTGAGTGCAGAGCTAGTAGTAACCCCTGAGCATCGCTGGGTGTGACCCAAAAAAGAAAAAAAAGATGCATGTTCAAATGAACACTGAAAGGGGAGAGCGGCTGGGAATATGATGGTTTTCTTCACTAGGGTCTTCAGAAACTTTAACATATGCAACAGAATTCTGCCAGGCCAGGGCACGGGGGCAAAGCAGGCAGGATTTCCCAGACACAGGCACTGATTTAAGAGCTTTAACTTCATGTGTTCTGTGGAGGACTACTTAGGAAGCACCGATCTTTTTTTTTCTTTTTTCTTTCTTTTTTTTTTTTCATTTGTGAGACATCATGAGGTACAGTTGCAGACTTACAAATTTTTGTGCTTGGGTTTCAATTGTACAATGATCAAATACCCATCCCTTCACCAGTGCCCATTTCCCACCACCATGGATCCCAGTATCCCTCCCACCCCCCACCCCCCCATCTCACGCTGTCTTTTGTTCTCTCTCTCTTATTGGGTGTTGTGGTTTGCAAAAGAGGCAATGGGTGACAATCATGTTTGGTCTATAGTCTACTTTCAGCATGCTTCTCCCATCCTGGGAGGATTCTCCCAACACCTTTATTTGGTGTTCCCTTCTCTATCTGAGCTCCCTTTTCCCCTAGCATGTGTGGTTGGCCTCCAGGCCATGGAGTAAAATTCCTGGTACTAATCTCGGCCATTCTTGGGTGTCAGTCTCCTATTTTGTTACTTTATGAGGAAGCACCAATCTTACTGTCCTAACGAACTGTCATCTATTTCACTCCAAATGAATGCTTGTACTTATGCTTGGGAACAGGGCATGTAGCTTCAGTAACTCTATTCCAATCACTTAGGAAGACAAGATAAGGGAAATCAAGAATCCTATTGCTAAACCCAAACAGGAAACAACTAAGGACAAAACTGATGAGTGGGAACTGAGGAACACATCGCCCTTGTGTTCTCACATGCTAAAAACAATATGAGCAAGAATCAAAATGCTCGAAAGTAAGCGAACGGATACCAACAAATGTAAGGTTGTTTAATTAAAAACACAAGCGCACTTACGTTAGTCTAAAATCTGATCTTTTGATTGTTTAAAACAAGTTAGTAACCTACATCTAACTTGGAACTTAATCAATTTTCAGAAAGCTGCTTGAGAAGTCAAATGACTAATTACTCATGGCAAAGCAGAACATGATTATAAGCAATAATGATGAACCCACAGGCTCCAAATGACTGACTGCTGAAAAAAACGTTTTGATAAAAGGCATCAGTCCACAGTGATCACGTACTCACCACACTGTGCGCAAATTGGTAACTTCTGGACAGAATTACAAAAATAGCAGAATGCTCTGTTCTTCTGCCGCCTTGAAAAACAGAAACATAAAGCAGTCAATAGCTGGCATATATGATCGGGATTCAGTATTACTACATGCAGAGAAAAGAGGGAACAGATAAGAATAAAAAAATATTTACCTCTGACACTTGTCACATTCCTGCAAAATGTAAAAACAAAAACAGTTATTTTTCTAGGGACAACAAATTGCATTCTAAAAGTGTCTTGGTGAACATCACTGTGGCTCCCGAGACCACCTCCTTCCTATGCCCAGGAAAGTCCCTCCTCCCAAAGTTGAGCTCTCAGAAGCTGTAGAATCACAGTTCTCTGAAAACTGAACCTCACCCCCCGCACTCGACTGGCTCATCGTGGTGCTAACTGCAGCTGCGCCAACAGCAGCTCTGGGCACCCGCCCTGTGTCCAGCACTCACTCTCTGTACCAATGCCTGCTGGGTATGAGCCCCGTGTTCAGCGCTATCTGTATGAATGCATGCTGAGCGCTCATCCCGCGTCCAGTGCTCATTCTCTGCACGGATGCATGCTGGGCGCTAGCCCCACGTCCAAAGCTCATTCTCTGTACGGATGCGTGCTTGGCTCATTCCCTGTATGGACATGTGCTGGGTGCTAGTCCCGTGTCCAGTGCTCACACTCTGTACAATCGCGCATTGTGCGTTCACCCACAAAAATCACCACCCCCGTTGCTGAGACTTGGTAAAAATAATGTATGTTTCCAACTATTTCAAATTCAGAAAATCTCCTCCGTCTCACTGTGTATTCACTGACTTTGTCCACATCTACTTCGGATGGTTATCAGATGGCTGTTAAAGAGTACCAACCCCCCAAAAAAGATTTACCATTGAAGCATTGCAAGGGTGTTTAGCTAAATCTATGGTGCCTCTCGATGCTCGCAGCTGCTTCTCGCGTTCCCGGCGGTTCTCTGCCTTCTTCCTGGCGCCCGTCTTTTTTTTAGGCATTGTCCCCCCTCTTTCTGCTTAAAAGAACAGAGAAATATGCAATTGCCTGGGTGCAGCTACTCTTTAGACAAAACGAAGCACCATAGAATAAAATGTTCTCGTGCTTATTAAAGTTTGCCCAGACACTGTGACAGGTAAGCATATTTTTAACTTTTATGAAATATTAAACACACATTATACAAGGAGATTTTTTAAATAAGACTCATTGGCACTACTAAACCATTGTACTAAGTGCAAACATGAAAAACTTTTATCTGGCTGGAGGGACAGCACTGTGGATTGGGTGTTTACCTTGCATGGACAGATCTGGGTTGAGTCCCCAGCACCCCTCTAATCCCCTGAACTGGGACAGGAGTGATCACTGAGTACAGAGCCAGGAGTAAGCCCTGAGCACTGCTAAGTGTGGCTCAAAATCAAAAAAATAAATAAATAAAAGCTTTATCCTGAGAGCTAAAAGTCTCCTTTTGCTACTGAGAAAACAAGTTACTGTGATGTTAAGGATTCTTTAAAAACAATCTTAAAAATATATTAGACAAAAAATATATATACATATTAGACATATATTAACCAAAAGTCATCAAAAAGTACATTATCTGCCCAGTATTTTAATGTTTTAGAGCAGAACCAACTTGCCCTGGCAGGATTTGAAGTAAGAGCACACTGAACTGTTTCCCGACATAATATCAAAATGAAGTATCTTACAGGAAAATCAAATAACACCCCCCATGCCAACTATTCTCTCTGGAAATATACCATTATTCATAGTTGCTCTGGCTCTGAAAGCGGCCCTTTTCGCTGAGGTGAGCATTTAACGGGGCTCAAATTCACTTTTTTAGGAAGTACCCCTTTTGTATTCAAATAAAGAATCAAGACTCCCAAATGGGCTTTCATCACTTTGTGGATAAGACCATTTTGATCGCTCGCACACACATATACGCGCACGCACACACCCACACTCACACACACACACACACACACACACACACACACCAAGCATTTATCTTTGGCCTTTGGTCCCATCCACAAGCACCAGGCGCCCACCCGCTGCAAGCTGGCACTCAGCCACCTGGGCAGACCCTGGGCTGCTTGGCCTCCATGGCAACCAAATCTCAAGTTTCTTGGGTCTTTAGAAGACCTAAAACTTTCCCATGCATGATTCTCCCAAGTTAATTTGCAGAAATTCCTTAAAAAAAAAAAAAAAAGTCGTGGTGTCTAGGCCCCTAGGCAGGAGCGATGCCCGCACAGCCCCTTCTAAGCAGGGTCCCCCCATCTCCCCCGACCTCTCCAAAGACCCCTGTCCGCCGGGTGCCCCCGGACAGTCCGTGTCCGAGGATACCTGAGGCCAGAGGTTGCAACAAGGGGCACCTCTCAGTCTCGGGGACCACGGGGGGCACAGCCACCACCTATCCAGACCCTCCCAGGCCACGCCCAGCGCCCGGGGTGGGAAGCTGCCCCTGCCCCGCGTGGTGGGGCAGCAACGCAGGGGCCGTCCCCGCGCCCCCGCGTCCCAAGGGTGCGGCGATGTGCGGTGCGGGGACCCTTGGGGGGGCTCCTCCCGCAGCCCCCGCGCGCGCGGGGCCTCCAGGTGCGTCTCTTCCATCTGGACAGGGGATGGGGCGGGGGGGGGGGGGGGGGGAGACCTCTGGCTCCGATTCTTTTTCTCCCCCCCGGGTTTGCTTTTCTTTGGTGGGGGGTGAACTTCGGGGGCGGGAACCTCGTCTCCGGGGCCCGGGAAAGGGGGGTCGGCCAGCCCCGCGCGCCCCCAGCCGGGCGCCCCGCCTGCACCGCGGGGGCCAGAGGGCGGCCAGAGGAGACTCGGCGGAGGCGCCACGCGGCCCGGAGCAGCCGCCACGGTCCCCCGCCCGCCGGACACCCGACCCCGCTCACCCGCGCGGGGACGCCCGCGGCGGCAGCAGCCCCACGTCCAGGCGCGCGCCCGCGGGGACGACGCTACTGGGACCCCCGGGGAGGCGGACACCGCCGCTTCCGGGAACGCGGAGCCCCGCCGGATGTCCTCTGACGTCAGCGGCAGCGCCCTGACGTCACCGCGGCGCGAGACACGCCCACTCCCGTTCGCCACGCCCCGGACACGCCCACTAGAGGCGGGGCTCCCTGAGATGCCCATGGGGCGTGGGCCAATGAATTGAGTGCGAGAGGGGGGTAAAAAAATGAGGCGAAAAGTTGAAGCGAAAAAAATTCATGCTTTTTTTTTGCTCTTTTGGCCGCACTCCGCGATGCTCATGGGTTACTCCTGGCTCTGCACGCAGGAATCACTCCTGGCGGTGCTGCGAAGGGGGGCATATGGGATGCTGGGAATCGAACCCCAGTTGGCCCGTGTGCGGCAAACGTCCTACCCGCTGTGCTATGGCTCCAGCCCAAATTCTTCCTTTTATTGCTTCGCAAAAGGAGAAATAAAAAATATGCAAAGCCGGGGGGGGGGGGGTCCTAATTCTTCCCAGGTTTATTGGAAACTTCCAGCCACCTACATCATTTATGCCTTACAAGTACCACTAGTTTATTAGCTGGTCAAGCTGTGCCCTCTGAGGCTCTGTTCTAATGTCCTCTGTCCCCTGTGCCCTCAGAGCCCTCTGGAATTCCATTCTTTTGTAGAATTCCACATTCTGGACTCCTGGTGTGTGCTTTTTTTTTTTTAATTGTATTGAATTACCGTGAGATAGTTACAAGCTTTCATGTTTGGGTTACAATCACACAATGATCGAACACCCCTCCCTCTACCGGTGCACGTTCCCCACCACCAATATCCCGGGTATACCCCCCTTTTCCCACCCTCCCCCTGTCTCCATGGCAGATCATAGTCCCCATAGTCTCTCTCTCTCTACTTTTGGGCATTATGGTTTGCAATACAGACACTGAGAGGTTCCTGTGCTTACCTGCAGCCTGATGTCTTCCCCACAAAGCCATCCCCTTCATTTTCTCCTTGGGAAGGAGGGCATTTACACAGACAAACATACACACGCACACACATGCACGCACACAAAACACACGCGCATGCACACATTCTCTCTCTCTCTCTCTCTCTCTCTCTCTCTCTCTCTCTCTCTCTCTCTCTCTCTCTCTCTCTCTCTCCTTTGTCCCTTGGTTAGGAGGTGGGTCAGTCCTCTTTTACCCTCTCAGATCATTGGTTCTGATGATTGCTTCTCCTGGAGTCTCTCAAGCCTTAACTGGTGCTGTTTGCACCTACTCGTTATTGTGGAAAATTTTTCTTTTTTTTTCTTTTTTTTCTAGGAGGAGGGAAGTGTCAGACCCCTGGCACTCTATATATTTTTTTTTAATTTTTATTAGTGAGACACCATGAGGTATAGTTGTAGACTTACAAATTTTTGTGCTTGGGTTTCAATTATACAGTGATCAAATACCCATCCCTCCACCAGTGCCCATCCTCCACCACCACGGATCCCAGTACCCCTCCCACCCCCACCCCCCATCTCACCCTGCCTCTGTGGCAGGGCATTCCCGTTTGTTCTCTCTCTCCTCTTGGGTGTTGTGGTTTGCAAAAGAGGCAATGGGTGGCAGTCCTTTGAGCCTCATTAGCATCCACATAGAAGATCCTATGGTATTGGGTTCTTGAAGGCTTCACCTCCTGGACCTGTGACCCGCACCCCAATATAGGATTTGCTTTCTGGAACACAGCCCAGACCTTATCTTTAGGATAATCTATTGCATCGCTAGAGTGCAACAGCCCAACCACCGATTAGCCTACCTCCTATTTTAGCAACTTTTTCTCAGTTTTCCCTCTTAATGAATACTTCAAATCCTCTGAATCTTCTGCTTTTTCCCTTTGTCCCCCCCCCCCTTTATCTGCCCTCCTGCCAATTTACAAAGCATAGGTCATCATTTCAATCTTCATTTACTCTATTTTTTTTCCTCATCAAAAACAACTGCACCCTTCCCAATACTGTTAATTCAACAGCTTTTCTTTTAGCTTGTAACATGCTTCTGAGTGTTTTTAAAGAAAAAATACCACTGAAAATTTATGATTCTATTCTAAACCTAAAGTCAATAAGCTGTAGAGGCTCTCAAAATTGCCTTGTAAAACTCCTCTATTTTCCTAATCAGCTCCATCATTTCTGCTCTCCCTGATGTCTTTGTCAATTCTTTTCCTCATTCCTTCATTTTCTACCATTTCTTCTCCATCAGTTTCAGTGGATATTATTACATGTTTCACAAAGAAAATAAAATATCAGTAATAGTCATCATATACGATTTGGTGCTCCTGGCACCTAATTATTTGGTGTATGTCGTGAGCTCCTGACCTTACACAAGAAGAAACATGCAGAGACCTCACAACCAACCCCAGATCACACAAAAGATTTAACTGGTGATATTCTCTCCTGTAGGGGTTCTCAAACTTGTTGGTCTCAGGATCCCCTAAAAACATTTACTACTTAAGGACCCTAATGATCATTTGTTTTAAGTGAGTTATATATCTCTATATATTTGCCCTATAAAAACCAAAACAAAAAAATCTTTATCCACAAGCAATAATAGCAAAAGCTACCTGTGACATATTGGATATGCCAAAAACAGTAACAAGTCTCACAATGGTTACTGGTTACTGGTGCCCGCTCGAGCAAATCAATGAACAACGGGATGACAGTGCTACAGTGCAGTGCTATTAAAACTTACATGAAAAGAACTATTTTTTTTTAAAGTCATGATGATGTTTTTAAAAGTTTTACAAATCTTAAACGCAAAACAATAAAAGGCAGGTGAATCTCTCTATCTGCTGCACTTCTAAGAAATGATTTGATGTCCTTATTTTCACAACATAAACTAGAATTGTGATCTGTTGAGAAGCCCCCGGGAGGGGGGCAGATTGTTCCCAAGTACACCTATATTTCAGAATCTTACTCCAAATGATCAGCACTTTACTCTGATGCTGGCTCCTAATTAAACGTAGAAACCGGGCAAAGCATTGTAAGTCCTTGTGGGCGGGTTCTTCTTAGGTCCCGGGTCATCTGCTCACCCCCTTGATTAGTTTAGATTGTGCAGTTTGAGCAACACCCTTGTTTGCTGCCGTCCCTCTTGCTCCTGGGGTCACCTTCTCCTTTTGGCCTTCTCCTCAGTTTCTGAGAGCCATGCCCCTGCACTTCTCCACCCCAACACACAGACACACACACACACACAGACACACACACACACACACACACACACACACACACACTGCTACTCTGTCAAACAATGATTTTGCCAGTTTCTACTTTAGCACAAGGCAGACACTGATCAGTAACCAGGAAGGACTGGGGAGGGAGGGGGTGGTATTTCCCGAAAGCAGCCTAGTTGGAGTACAAGAAGGAGGCCTCTGTGTTGTGCTCTGACTATGCAGCAGGAACAACAGACCATCTTCAGGCTTAGGGTGAGCAGAATCTGTTGATAAGAGATGTCATCATCCATCCATCATCATCATCAGGCCAGGCCACCGGAATTTCTTTTCCATTTAACACACTGACCTTGGAATAGTCGAACCAGCCAGGATGCTGGGCTGGTACAAATTTTCTGAACCTTGGCCACATTGATGATTAAGAACTGGGCCTGCTCCCTGGCTTTTCTTGCCCTCCTGCTGCAGAAGATAAAAGCTGCTTTATTTGCTCCAAAGAGACCTTCTGGATTTTAGTTTTCAATTTTAATAGCCCTAAGCCATTCTCAGCTTCTTACTTTTTCCAAAGAGTCTGTTTTTTCTTAGCAACAGTCAAGTCCCCAGTTCCTAAGATTAGTGTTTCTCAGGACTTAAACAACAGTACAGTGGAAAGGGTGTTTGCATAGCTGGCAGCTGACCCAGGTGCAATCCCAGCACCTCATAAATTCCCTGGTGCACACTGTGTGTAATCTCTGCATTCAGACCCAGGAGTAAGTCTTGAGCGCTGCCAGCTGTGCCCCATCCCCAACAAAAAGAAAGATTACCAGTTCTATAGGGTTTTACAATCCCTGATACCTGGCAGTCGTGAGTACATCATCTTACCTTAGTCCCCTCGTGGGACAGTTAGCTCTAGACCACTGTGATATTGTGCAAAGCTTTACCTATGCTATATCTGTCCCTCATGAGAAAAAAAAATAATGTGTCAAATCAGGAACTCGTGACACATATCAAATAATTAGATGCCAGGAGCACAAAATCATCTATCATAGCTATCAATATAATGTGCTATCCTCACTGGCAGCAGGGTGTCCAAGGAACCAACCCTCAAATCTCATATCCTTCCAACATACTGGGTCCATCGTTGCCCTCAACACTTTAGGTCGTCTTGCCTGCAAGCACTTCAAACTTAGACATGAGTAGTGAGGATATCAACAGAGGTTTGGGGGGCAACCCAAGGGAAAAATGGCAGCGAGATGAAGACTAGGGGGAGTTGTCATGGAGTCAAAACTAAGCTTGGACTTGGACTCTAAACTGGTGAAGGGTGGATGTCTAATATTGTATGCCTAAAACTCAATCACAGATACCTTTGCAATTTTGAAATTCATTTATAAAGTTAATAACATTTTTAAAGAAGAGGAGAAGGAGATAGGTGATATGGAACTGGGAGCATTAGCTTGGTTGTCAGAACAGGATTTGTTTTGTTTGGGGGCCATATCAGCAATGCACAGGAGATTTTTCTGGAGACCATATGCAATTCTGGGGATCAAATCGGTGCCACCTATGTACAAAGCAAGTACTTTACCCTCTGTACACACACTCTCTCTTTCTCTTCTCTCTCTCTCTTTCTCTCTCATCTCCTCTCTTTTCTCTCTCCTCTCTCTCTCCCCCTTGTTGTCAGAATAGTAAGACAAATAAAATGATTAAGCTTATATAATGCCACAGCACCAATCACAATGGTTAAAAATTTTAAAAAGACATCTTTTTTAAATGTCCACTGGCACTTCTTATCATTAGGAAAGCTTTAACCAATTCTTGAGGAAAAACTCTAAGTACCTTTTGTCTGATAATTAGCTTTGGATAAGAGGGAGAGAAGAATTTCTAAGCAGTTGTTGCCTGTATTACCCTTTATA